AAAGAAAGAAAGAAAGAAAGAAAGAAAGAAAATTAATTGATATCACATCGATTTTGTCTTTGAAGAATTGTCCCCGGGGTCCTCCAGGCCCTCAAGGCTTACCAGGTAACAACGGTGTCCCTGGTAACAATGGTATGCCTGGAGTACCAGGCCACCACGGACGAGATGCCAAGGGAGAGACCGGACCTAAAGGTGACCGTGGAGACCCTGGACCCAAGGGATCTGATTGTCCTGGTGTCAACCGGAAGCAATGTACGTGGAGCAAAGAAGACGATAAAGACAATGGCTTGATAAAGGTATTAACCAGTTATGTTATTGTATATGCGATATATATAAACTTTTACGTTGTACCGCTTTGCCTCATGATAACAGTTTCAGTAATTCAGTACTAACCTCATTTTAGCGTCAAAATATTCCCAAATACCAACGGTAAAATTAGCCTCCTCCGCCTGCATCTCCTTTCCAATTCTTAGGCGCTTGGAGTTTCTGTGTGATAAAGGGATCAGTATCCCGCGGTCACAATATAGTGTCTCCATACCACAGGTAGCCCGGCCCTAGGAACAGGAAAGCAACCCCGCCAAAAGCAGTTAAGCTAGCTGCGGAGGAGGTTACGGTAAAATAATGAATAATGCACAACTGCAACAATAAAAACACTTTGAAATCATACGGACCTTCACTGCAACACGTGAACATTCTACAAAGAATGAAGGCTAACACTCAAAAACAGCATACGGCATGCAGACAAGTCAAAACTGGAGTTGTTTTTTTCTCTCTTAGGAATGTATCTTTAACAAGAATAAAGCCGACACGTCACTTCGTGTATTCTTTGACGGAACACTACGCATTACGGGCTGTACAGGCTGTTGCAAGAGATGGTACTTCACATTCAATGGCGCAGAGTGCAGCGGACCAGCAACAATAGAAGGGGTTATATACATGAGTATCAGTCAAGATCTTCACCGTCATCGCCACATCGAGGGATACTGCGATAACATTGCAGTCAAGGGTCAAGTACGCGTTGGATTCTGGGTGGGTAATTGTGGGGGTTTTGGAGACGCTGATGCCGATACTGGATGGAACGCGTACTCGCGTATTGTCATCGAAGAGACGTCACAGGGACAACCATAGATAGAGTGATCATCACGGTAGCAAGAATCTGGATAATTTTAGCATTTTACTTTCTATTTTCACATTTAAAAATTTTGAATTTTGGGGATAAACAGTGGAAAGAGCGCACATATTATACTTAAGGCTGATCGGAAGAGGCTGCAAATGCATCTTTAACTTAGATGAAATTCTTACTGGATGATTTTTTTGTAACTAGGCCAGCATGACAAAACTCAAAAATTGTTAGCATTGAGCCCGTGCATATTTGATGCGACGTCGCGCAAAAATATGAACAGACTGCTAGTATAATTTTGAGCACTGTTTGATGAGTCAATACATTTTCTGTAACATATATCCTAAATTAGGTTAAGGGAAACTCCGAAATCAGTTAAAGGGATGCTCCAAAATCAAGTTAAGGGATGCTTCTAAATCAAGTTAAGGGATGCTCCTAAATCAGATAAGAGATAATCCAAAATCAGGTAAGGGATACTCCTGAATCAGGTGAAGGGAAACTCCGAGTTCAGTTTAAGGGATTCTCCCAAATCGCTTAACCTGATTTAGGAGTCATCCCTTACCCGATTTATATTCCTGCACCTGATTTAGGATTATCCTTTAACCTCATTGTGGAGTTTCCCTTGACCTGCTTTAGATTTACGATTGTGATGATCGATAGTGATGATACTAGCTAAGTCCGTGAGAGGCAATTAGCCAGTCAGCGCGAAATAAACATGCACAATTTGTTAGCGTCAGAAGGGGGAAAATGGCGCCCAATTGTACCGATTGTGATAGATAAAAAGAAAGTTAATGGGCTAATATGGTTTAGGATTTGTTCAGGAGCACGAAAGTTCCTTTCTCTGGATGGGAACTCTATGCAAGAGAAAAAAACCCCACATATTCCTTTATTTGAACAAAAGTAAAAGGCCAGTCCAAAGGCATAAAAGCTAGAATCATTATTAAGTGATGAGCTGCTTAAAAAGTTGCATCAGAACAATAGTCCCCTTCACAGTTCCCTGCGCCATCTTGAAAGGTACCCGGGCCGTTGAATCGAAGCGAGACGAACGGTGAGCTTGCAATGATAAGGACATGTGAATAATTGTTCATGGYGTTTTAAAAAATGGTCTCTATCATTGCAAGGTCACCGTTCATCTCGCTTCGATTCAAAGTCCCGGCTATCTTTCAAGATGGCGCAGGRAACTGTGAAGGGGTCTATTGAATAAATAGGGTTGGGCTTCCTGTGGTATTTGGACCTTTGTCGCACCACAGGTAGACCATACCTAAATTAAAGAGTGTATAAACACATACATATATGTTTTTTGAACACATAAAAATCACTACTCACGTTTTTCTGTTTTCACTTCGATAGCATTGATGCGGTGATCAATGAACATTCATTCCTTTGAAATTGAGACTTCCTTTTTACTATCAATTGTGTTATCTATGGTACTGGCTGTGTACGATCGCTCTCTTCCTGTTTTAGCATGTGATCTGGCAAGGCCACAAGTTAGGGAATTTGCAGGAACGTTTTCTTTTTATTTCCTGCTTGATAAAGATAAAAAGAAATGGCAAAATAAGTGGAATAAATCCATAGATTTTCACTGAGTACCCTTAACCGTTTCCTTTTCATGAAAGCCATATTTTTCATTAATATCTAAAAATAACTGCGTTAAAGCGATTGTTCGAGTAATGTCAGACTTTTAACTTTAATTTCAACTTGAAATACCAAAGGAAAAAAATTTCTCGATCCCACACTCCACCTAAGAAAAGTCCGATCCAAGGAGTTAATCCAGAACCTGAACTTCCACAATTTTGGAATTTAAGGTTAAAACTGCAAAATTCTAAAAGAGCAAGTAAAATTGGCATGAATGTTGTAATTTGTTTTGCTTTATTCGTAAAAAAGCTATAGTTTTACGAGCATCAAAAGTATCAACCCGCAAGCCACTTGTACGCCATTACTAACACCTACCCCTCCCCAAGGGATTGGGTAAACGATCTGGTCAAAAGCAGAAACCACTGAAATACATGCTCTAATATTATGTTATTCGTCGTTTTCAAACGATTTGGTCGAGAGTTGATACTGACTCTAATATTAATTCATTCGTATAACTAATATAATGTTTTGGGACTTTGATAGAGAAAGCCTGGCGATGTCGACTAGGCTGCTGATTGAAAGACCATGGCTGCTATTGCACTGCTAATAAAACATGCGTAGTAATAGGAATATTTTGTAATTTTTTTTGTATGATCTTCAAGATCTGCTAAACTTAATACACCTTTTGCTGTTCATTAACAGAAAATGTACATTCATTTGTGCCAATAGTTGTATCAATAACGTGTAATGTACTTTCATCAACACCACAAGTAGCATCATTAGCGCGGATCAACTTTCAATAACGACAATTGAATATGCGTGTACATTCATAGGCATCAATGGACAATCAATAGTGCGTTTGTACATTCATATGCGCGGATTGTATTTTCTTGTGCGCGAAATTCAACTTCAATAACACCAAATGACAAACATAGCATTTATGGACAATCATTTACCCAAAAGTGAAAATTCATTAGTGCTATTAGCATAATCATTGACAATCTATAATGCGTTTGGACAATCATGAGGGTCAATGTTATATTCTATTGCGTGGTTCGACAAACATTTGCATGATTCGAATTAATTTATAATTTATTAATTTATAGTGCGCAAGCGTCAATTTGCGACAAGAATTGCTAACTATCAATCACGTGACTTTTTGGAGTTGACTGGGGGGAAAACAAGCGGTTGACTGGGGGGCAACTAGCGGATGCTTAGTCAAAACATATCAAAATAAGTCCTCAAACTATTGTATTTGACTATTTTCACGACATCAAACCAGAAAACAAGAGATCAAAACAATCTCCAGGATTCTACAAGCCATCAAAAAAGAGCTATTACCGGAAGTGACGTCTATTGATAGCAACCTATTACCGGTATTTTTTCGTACTTGTCAAAATAAATTAGATTAATAATCAATTTATAAATTATAGAGAAAATGATGAATAATGTAATTCTACCTTTGGCAATTTTGCATTGTAAAACAAAATCGATGCAAATGTTAAGGTGATCGTTAATCTAAAGGTATTAACATTCTACTATGATTTAATCAATGAACTCGCACTTAGTTTGAACATGAACAAGAAAACAACGATAACACAAACCTCTAGTAACATGGCAAATATTCCAAAAACTTTACACCAATGTGAGTAACAATTCCAATAAAGACGGCTATCTTTGAAAATGTTTCCACATTAGACATTCAATCAGGTGAATGTCTTCAGTAGGATGTCGAAATAGTGTCCGCCATGTTTTATCCACCAGAGCCGATTCAATCGTTTGGTATCAATCAGCTGAGGCCCCGTCCACACGTATCCGCGGAAATTTTTGTATCCGCAAATTATTTTTTGCGGATACGAAAATGTTTGCGTCCACACGCAGCGTATTCGAATCGTTTTCACCGTCCACACGTATCCGTTTTCGTAAAATTTGAGGATACGGACACAAACATTTCCGGACACGTGTGGACGCAATCCGTATCCATTAAAAAAAAATTGCGGCTACAAAAATTTGCGGATACGTGTGGACGGGGCCTGAATGAACCTCATGAATCACTTTTCCAGTTTTCAGCGAGAAGCTGGTAAAATTAATCCACACGAGACGTGAATATTGTCATTTGAATAGATCTAATCCACTGTTTTTCCCATTCCAGACCGCGTGTCATTCCCTAGAGTATCATTTCTTTGTTTAACAAATGTTCATGAGAAAATATATGCGGAATATGGATAAAAGTCAAACACAGAACTTTGCTCTCAAGAGAATAACACGTGGTCTGAAATGCCCAAGTTGATTTGGTTCATTCCGGCCAGTTCTTCTTGAGGTGCAACCCGTGACTCAAAATCGCTCGAGATATAAATAACAATAAAACAGCCTCCATATTGGTTGATATAACAAGAGAAGTTAATTCAGTATACTTTGCTATTGCCAACCCACATTGTAATATGCACCTCAATAATGATTGTAATAGTGGTTCCTTAGTGTAGTGGTCATCACGTCTGCTTTACACGCAGAAGATCCTGGGTTCGAGCCCCAGAGGAACCATAAGAATATTAATTTTTTTTCTTGACCAACATGTACAAGGTGATGCAATCCTATTTAACGAGCTCATTCTTAAACATGCAATAACACAAACCAATTTATTCTATCATGAATTTTTTGGTACTTCTTATTGTGTTATTACCGCCACCCTGCTAGCTCAGTTGGTAAGAGCGTCGGTCTGTTGTGCGGGTTCATACGCTTTAAAAGGACGGTTAGCATGAACTAGTTCACACGCTTCAAAAGGACGGTGCATGAACTAGTTCACACGCTTCAAAAGGACGGTTAGCATGAACTAGTTCACACGCTTCAAAAG